TTTATTTATTTATTTATTTATTTCCAAAACAAACATAGGTTGTAAAAAGTATACCAGCTGGTTACAAAAGGCTTTTGTGCATCTCTTCCACCGTCGTCGAATATAATTCATATTAATTCAAATGTCTTAACTCTTAAATATTTACTATATTAACATCATCATACCTCCACTTTTATTTGACTACAGTTATTTAAACATCCTTCATCCTTAAATATAGTAAATATTTAAGAGTTAAGACATTTGAATTAATATGAATTATATTCGATGACGGTGGAAGAGATGCACAAAAGCCTTTTGTAACCAGCTGGTATACTTTTTACAACCTATGTTTGTTTTGGAAATAAATAAATAAATAAATAATTTATTTTAAAAAAAAAGCCCAAACTTACGATAGTTATATTAAAATTAAGCCTTGTGGAAATAAACTTCCCTCCTTTATCTCTCCCTTAAAAAAAAAAAAAAAAAAAGAATCTGGCCAACTAACAGTCCAGGGAAATGAGCGGGAGATAAGAAAGGCATTGAAATTGGGCTGGATTTCGATCTGTTGTGGGCCCGCAGGAACTCGTGACTGATGACACATTTGAACCCTCCCTCCTGCTCAGCCTGGTCATCTCCTACGGTCCCTTTCTCCCCAAACCACAGGCCTCAGAGCAGCGGATCCTCCAGCGCTTGCCTTTTTGAACGAGGTGAGCAACTTCACACTGATGTACCCCATCTTGTTCCGCCGGATGTGCTTCAGGAGAAAAGCGTCTTTTTCCAGGTTGCCGTCGGAGAAATAATATTCTACCTGAGCCACCAGCTTCAGGATCAGGTCGCGCTCGGGGGGCTTCCAAGCAGGGGATGAGTCATCCCCGTCATTCTCGCTGGGAAAGGGGAGAAAGAGAAGAAGAGAAAAAGAGAGGATAAGGATAGCTCAGGAAAGGAACGAATAATAATAAACAGATCGGGCTCATGTGGATCCGTTCTCCGTAACAAATGTAGAAAAGATTACATAAAATGGACTGGTAAAATAAATAAAAAACGCATGTGTGGTTTTCCTTTCCAGGAATCTGTTCCTTTCCACATTCCTCAAATGTTGCTCAACGTGCTTCGATGGTGTTTTCAGGCGTGAAAACAGTCTGCAGAATTCAGCTGGGCTTCCAGCAGTGAGTAGAAAAACAAATATCTATATATATATTTAATCCAAACAAATTTCGCTCTGGTCTCTGGGCATCCCGAACTCCCAAACATTTTGGAACAATCGCTGTCTTTTGCAACGAACGGTGCATCTTTAAAAATAAAATACAGCGTGCCTAAAAGTGTGGGAAGTTTGCAAAAAGGAACATTTTGACCTGGGAAGGAAAGGGAATTAAAAGCATTAAACAACTAAAGCGACCCCACCCGGTCGGGGAGGATAAGAGGTAATCCTCAATTTACAACGATTTCATTCAGTGAAACTTTCAACAGCGCGGAAAAAAAGAGATGCATGACCGTTTCACACTCCACTATTGCAGCATTCTCCATAGTCGCAGGATGAAACATTGGTTTGCTTGGCAACTAACTGACTCGTATTTATTTTTTGTTTTTTTCCGTATACTTTTTTATTTTCCATTTTCATAACATACAATCACATGTATACTATACATAGCCAGTATCCTATTGTATTAAATAGTAATTACATCAGTTCNCCTTGGTGCTCTCTGAGCATGGTGGTTTTCTTGCAGACATCTCATAACCCAACTAGGTAACACCACCAGGGCTACCCCCAGCAACCAAACTTCGGAGAGCACCTGCAAACCCCACTCCAAAACAAGAGTTTATACATTCTTGGCCACGTTGCTCCTTTCGTGGCTGTTATGGAAGCCCTTCGTTCCATCCGGGCCCCTGGGCAAACGCAGGACCCCGACGGGCAGTCCAGCAGGGGCGGCTATTTTGACGCTGGGCTCTGGTCTGCCCGCGGGGGCCTTCTCCTGGGCCAGAGTCCGAGCTTGCCGCCGGCGTTGGACCCAGGGGCTGCTGGAAGGAGTGATGCTGCTGTCCGAAGAGTAATCAGCCGGCCATTTGGACGCCTCGGGGCTGGTGCCGAGAAGGGCTCTGGCGTGCTCCGCCAGCGGGGACATCCGGGAGGTTTTGCGCAGGGAGGAAGGGCTGTTCCAGGGACTTGACCTCGGGGAGACGTTGGGGCTCAGGTGGTGGTTGGGGTAGGCCGAAGGGCTCAGCCTGTTGGAGGAGCTGCTTCTCCTCGGCCGGGGAGAGGCCGGGTCGCTGTCTGGATCCGAGGAGCTGTTGGCCGACAAGTCTTCGCCCACGTCTTGAAGCTCCTCCACTCTCCTGTTCATCGAACGGCTCTTGCCCGGATCCTTGGCGGAGTTTTTCTCCGCGTTCTTCTCCTTGGCGACTTTCTTCTTTGGAGGCTTCGTCCCGATGAGGATGACCTTCATGGCGGCTTTCTCCGCGACGCAGAACGACTCGTGGGCTTTGACGGCGTCGTCGACCTCTTCGAACTCGACGATGGCGCATTCTTGGGTCCCCACCGGGCTGTAGCGGCCGCTGAACTTCTTGACGTCCGCCGGAAGGTCCCTCCCGGGTTTGAGAATCCGGACGGACAAGATGGCCCCGAACTGGACGAAGGCCTTGAGGAGATGCTCCATGACCTTCTCCCGGACTTCTCCGTTCTCCTGTCCGTCATCTGGAGGGCGCCGGTCTTGAGCTGGGGAGATGTCGTAGACCAGAAGCATTCGACTGGGGAGGTTTTCGCTCGGGAAGACGGGGACCGGCGTGCTTCGGCGGACTTTCCGGCCATCTTCATTCATTTCCAGAACGTCGGAATATTTCAGAGCGTAAGCCGTGGTTCTCCAATCCCGGGTCAGCTGTTTGATCTGGAAAGAAAGAGGAGGCCATCTTGAGCAAAAGACCAGAATCATTCACAGATGCCACAGACGGGCATCAAAACAACAACAACAACAACAACAACTATATATAGGACTATATATAAAGATTATTAATAACAATAACAATTATCATAAAAACAAAACTATATACAGTTAAATTTTAACTAATGGGGGAAAATGCTATGATATAGGATATAATTAAATAAAGAAAGGATAATGATAATAAATTATATACATGATTAGAAATCTTTGGTATTAAATATTATGGATGTTTAGCTAAAACAGAATATGAGGACTTAATGTTAATGGAGGATTTTACAAACAAGTAAATGAAATGCCAGCATGTGGTGGTTATGGATTGAATCTCGGTATATTTAAGGATGAAGGATGTTTAAATAACTGTAGTCA